GAAGTGAGATATTCAAGATGGCGTCTAAAATACCCCTTAAATCAAATTATTTTCCACTTTTGGTTAACAGAATGAAATTAAAATCCCTCGATTTTTTATATTTTCCAGTTTTTTTCTTGTTAATTTTACCTGGAAGTTGCACTGAAGAGAATGTTGACGGAGGGCATTAGTGGTAGATGACAAATTTCCCTGTTAACCTGACGAGTATGCACTGATGAGCCACTGTACATACTTATGGTGTACATAGGACATACATCTGCCATTAAATAATGAATATTTATATTGGTCAATTCGACGTAATTACTAAAATACAGGGTCATTTTTCATTTTTGGCCAAAATTGATTCACTCTGTATCTTTTCAGTCGTTTGATCAAATTTCCTCAAATTATATACACTTAGTCTACTAATCAATGTCAACTTTATGGAGTACAAAGAGTCGCCAAATTCCAGGCCCGGACTTGGAAAATTTCAATTTGTCGTCTCTTACAGATAGGACACCCTGTACATTGGAATTTTCAATATCTACTCATTATTCCTGAAACTACATGGATCAATGAACAAAAAAATGTTGATAATACATTTAGCACATTTGAAGTATGTTTAAATAAAATATTGCTTTTCGAGAAACATTCCATTTATTTATTTTATCTCTTGAAAATTTATAAAAAAATTTAATTATATTCTCAAAATTCATTCCACCAGCATCCCTGCACTTTTGTGCTCGAGTTAACAAATTTCCGATTGAATTTCGAATCATTTGAGAGTTTTGTTTGATTTCTTCACAATAATTTTCAATTCGTTTCAATAACTGCTCTCTGTTTCCAATAGGATCGCTGTAGACCTTTTGTTTCAAATGTCCCCACAAAAAATGATCTAGAGGGTTGAAATCTGGGGACCTAGCTGGCCAAGGGAGTGGCTCTCCTCGTCCAATCAAACGATTTGGAAATCGGTAATCAGGGTTTTCTCTGACGTCAACGCCAAAATGAGGCGGAGCGCCATCATGCTGGAAATGTATTCCTCTCAAATTAATGTTCTCCATCAAACCAGGCAAAATATTCTGCAGAAAATCAAAATAAACGAGGCTTGTTAACCTTTGAAGAAATACATGAGGTCCAATCAACGAATCATTTATCAAACCACACCAAACATTGATTGAAAATTTATGTTGGGAATGGGCTTGTCTTACTGTGTGCGGATTTTCATCTGCCCACACATGAGAATTTCTTGTATTAAAAATGTCTTGTGTAAACTGGGCTTCATCGGTAAATAATGTACGAAAAACAGTCCTTCTGTGGCTTGTGATCCACCGGGAAAATGCAAGCCTGGGTATTTGGTCACCTTTTTCCAACCGTTGTACCTGCTGGATGTGAAAAGGGTATAAATTTTCGTTATTAAGTACTCGTAACATGGCCTACTGATAGAAAATCAGATAATTATGTTAAATGTTATTTTATGTAGTCCAGAAATGGTTTTAAACTTAAAATTCATCTGAGCGAGCACAAAAGTGCAGGGATGCTGGTGGAATGCATTTTGAAAATATAATTTGATTTTTTTATAAATTTTCAAGAGATAAAATAAATAAATGGAATGTTTCTCGAAAAGCAATATTTTATTTAAAACATACTTCGAATGTGCCACACGTGTTGTTAACATTTTTCTGTTCATTAATCCATGTAGTTTCAGGAATAATGAGCAGATATTGAAAATTCCAATGTACAGGGAATGTAATGAGGAAATTTGATCCAACGACTGAAAAGATACAGAGTGAATCAATTTTGGCCAAAAATGAAAAATGACCCTGTATCTTAGTAATTACGTCGAATTAACCTATATAAATATTCATTCTTCAATGGCAGAGGTATGTCCTATGTACACCATAAGTATGTACAGTGGCTCGTGAATCACCCGTATAATAAATTATCTTGCACGAAATACATATCTTCTCTTCTTTAGTGGTAGATGGCAAAAACTCTAGCATTAGCACTGTCACAAAAATTGCAACACGGGCTGCGTCTGCCGTTGTAATATCCGGTCCAGCTCAAAATGAAAATGGTATTAGTATCGAAACGGCTAACAGTTTTTATTCACCATGTGTCTTCGAAAAGGGACAGAACAAACTTTGTATAAAGCTTGCACCACAAACTGTTCAACCAAACGGAGATCCTCGGGGGATAGATCAGGAGTCTTTCCAAGCTGACTGAGGAGTTTACACTAGTTTTCTTCTATGTACTGCTTCCAGCGTCCTGTTTTTGTCACTGACGCTAACTCAGATTCTTGATCTGTTGTGGTGTGGGCTTCTTACATAGTTCGTGAAACAGTACGGCTGCAGGAAGCCGCAAAGGGTGCCGTGCACCAAGATGTGCAAGTGAAAGGCAAAGTGCATCAATGGAGTAGAAAAAGATGAAGAAGACTACTGATAGTGAATTTTTTCTTTTCAAAATATGAGAAATAAAGGCTTGGACAATGTTTAAATGCTTTTTTGAGCTCATAAACGTATTAAGCGCCCTCGAAAACATATGCAAGCTTATACAACACGTTTTCACAAGTTTTTTGAGTGTCCCATCCTGTTCTACACCCACTAAAACAAAGACATCGGCATCTCAGTCGGATAGCTGACCAAAAGTAAAAAACAATTTGATTTTAGGGGTATGTTGGACGTCATCTTGAATATCTCACTTCCGGTTGGAATTTCGACTTAATTTCGATTTAATATAATTTCGGATTCAGCGGTGTCGAAATAGGGGGTTAACGTCATTTATCCAATTGTTACATGAAATGCTTCTAGGATTTGGCTTTTCGCCCCGACTACAAGGGAAGATAGCCTAGGATTCAAATTCGATCCGGGTTTGATCAATCTTCGAGTTCAACTAGGGAACTAATTTTTATAAGAACTAGATTTTTTCTTCTTGGTCGTAGAATCCACTGGCAGAGTACTGTGAGTTAATTAAAAAACACCCTATAGATTGCTTGGCGAATTAGTGATTCCCGGAGCAGGAATAATCCGAAAGCTTCTAATGGCCACTTGGGCGAAGACTTCTGTTTCGAGCTTGCATAAATTTGTCCAAAATGCCTGCGATAAGCTAAATACCGGTGGGACGCGGACTCGCTCCTGAAATATATCGGCCTCGTTATAAATTCGTTGGCAGTTGCGTTGGTGTTATCGTAATTCGTGCAAATTCATTTTTACCCGACTTTTTGCCACTCGTTTCCACTGGCACGTAAGTAATACAGGGTGATTCAAAAGTAAGCAGTGTGAACGAGGAGTTATCAACTCGAGTAGTTGATTACCCTACAACTCATAATGGAAGTGAATATTCCAAAATAACACATTACTTTACCAGCGTTCCGTTGTGCCAAATATTACTTTTGTATAGTTAGTGTATCACGTGACATGAGGGAAGCGAAAATCCAGCGCCAAATTGTATCTGGCCTATATCATGTGATGTTATTCCATCGTTTGGGTGGTATTCAGAAATCTCTCAACTAGCTTGAATCCTTCCAAAGGAAACCATAAATAATATTCAACATATGTTTCAAACCCAACAAGATTCACTTGACAATTTATCATTCTTCCAACAAAATATATACGTAGTATATTATGGTTGCATAGGCAAAAAGCAGTGAACCCAGATCCTTCACAGTATGTGTTTGAATACAGCCAACTATTCAGACCCCGGTCAGATGGACCGAACTAGCCTTTCCCGTTTCACAATCCAAAAATAATATCGGATTGTTGGAAAAAAACGCATAGCAAAAAAATCCAACAACTGTCTTTTCAATACCATGTCGTTATTTACCTTTAACTAATATGACGATAGATAATTAATAATCTATTAGTATTCTGGTCGCAACATAACTGAATCAATCAAAATTCATTTGCGGTTGAGGTTCTACTGAATACCCTTGATGAGCCTTCAAATAATACCTACTCTCTACTAGAGGGTCGTGAACTATTATCTCGGTTTAACCAGCTTAGGATTGATTCGATATTCTAATTAATGATAAAACCTATTTATAGTAGCTTTCTTACAGCATCCTTCCAGCGGCACATTCCTTGCATAAAAATGAGGCAGAAAGTTCCTATTGATAAGGGTCCGAAAATTCTTCCTATGGGAGCTACGCCCCTTTGGATAGGACACCTCAAAGACGATTTTTTCTCTATAACCTCGAAATTCTCCACAATAAATTTTCGAAAATTGGTGTACGGCATAAAAATTGAATATTAAATAGGACTCTGAATTCAAAATTTCAGAATTTAATTTAAGGGCGTCACATGCAGGGAAGGGTGAGTTTAAAAAAATTTCTTCTTCTTCTTCTTTAAGTACTGAGCTCCAGCAAGAATGATTCCAAGCTTGTATAAAACTGTATTGACTCCCTAGAGTGCCTGGGTGCTAACAACAGAGGTACTTTGCTATAGGTGCCCGAATACCCGGTGGTAGATGGGAACGAGAAAGTCGAAATCCTCGCCAAACAAGGAATTGGATATCTGGTGCTCATAGGACCAGAATCATACTTTGCAGTCTCCACAAGTGCACCAAAACAGCTATTTTGGATTGAGGGACGGAGAAATATCCAGGATCGACTCATTCGAATAAGGTGTTCCTGCCTGAACCATCGAAAAATATAACCAGGCAGATCCTAGATAAGAGCAGGAATAACCTGCCAATTCTGGTAGGACTGCTCACGGGACACTGTCATCTAAGATACCACCTAGGAAGGATGGGTCGTTTCTGCTGTGTTGAGGACGAAACGACTGAAAACATATCATGTTCATAGTCTTGCTCAGAGAGACTGAGATTCAACATATTCAATATCATCAATTTAGAACCTACCAATTCCAGAAAAATCTCAACCTCATCCAGTCGTGGACTATGTGATAAGATTTTTTCATTGTGAACTGTAACCTCTAGGGGTGAGCCACAATAGACCCATATGGGGTCATGGTGAAGGAGCAGGATTTGCCTCACTCACACGGAGACTAAAACTGAAACACATGAACTATAACAGTACTTTATAATTAATTAATTCACATTTTTTATTCCATCACCACCACTTTTCTCAGTTTTCTCCTTCGTCAATTCATCACTTTTCATTTCGTAGGCCTCCTTGTGCTTTAAGAGGAACGCTGCTAGAGCCAGAATGGGATCTGGAGGTCTTTCTTTAGCAAGGGCAGCCAATCCAGTCATCAGAATCGGAACCACCGTGTGGTCTAGATACTGTTTGGTGGGCAACGAAGCTAGATCCACCTGGGACTTCTTCTTGATGTTGGCTTGGTTCTCCATCCTCAGCGCAGATTTGATGATCTTGCAGTACATAGGGTCTCCTGCCAGATGACATACCTCTGCAGCTATTTCTTCCTCAGTCAGAGTCGTCGGGTGGAAACCATCGAGTTCTTTGTAGGGAATAGGGATTGAGTTGTCTGAGCTCCTGGAGCCTACAAAATCTTGGATGTTACCTGTATTGGATAGCGCTTTTTCAGTTGGGGCAATATCTTGGTTCACTTCTTCTGCCATGAAAACGTCAGTTGCAACTTGTGAATCTGTCAAAACGAGTTTGTGTCAGAACTTTTGACGTAGCATTGAATTCATAAAACATGACCTCTCTCTCTCTCTAGTTTTTTTATTGCTTGGTGCGCACGAAAGGGAATCCATATAATGTTTGAAGAACATCGTGCGTTCCTAGTAAGATTATTAGTTCTTGGAAATACATCCTTAGGCAATGAATTCCACAGCTTCCCCGTTTAATAGAGAGAAGAGTTTTGATACAGTAGGTATACAGTGCTGTTTGACATATTTCGAGGTTGACAACGAAAGGATGTGCTGATTGCGCTTGCTGAGTTTGTCTGACTGGTATTGCTAGTTGTGGAATGATAGCAGATATTTCTGAAGAACATTTTTATAAAAAAGTGAAAGGAAGCCGACCTTCCTACGGTGTTAGTGAGTTTGGCGAATGGCTCCTCTCTGGATCTAAGAGCATCAGAACAGGTCTGTTAATCCAATTAACTCAATATAAATACCTGGAAGGGAGACGGCCGGTTTCTCGAATAGCACAAAGTGTGTCAGGGGCAGCTGCAACAAAGATAGCTTGTGTTACGGTAACCTGTCTCTTTCACACTCGTGTTGTTTAATGGCGGATTGGTGTATGAATTTTCTTTCATCCAATAATTAGAGTACTCGAGATCTTCTTTTTTTTTTCATCAAAACAGGCAAAAAAGTGAAGACAGAACTTCATTGAATTTTTGTTATGTGAAAATTTGACGTGTTTTGTTTCTTCAAAAGGACTGAATTTGTTGGTGTGAATTGGTTATTGTTGAAAAGATTCGTGATTTCGAATTAATAAACAATGGCTATTCATATTGTGTGGCCTTCGGATGCAAAATAAGCAGTGCAAACAGGAATTGTCCTCCATGGGTAAGTTGAAAATTGTTCAGATTCTTAGAAAAACTATTTGGATGATTTTTTTAAACTCGATGGAATTATTGGCAATCTTCTGGGACCGATTAGGGTATGGAAAATATTCTGATAATATCGTCTATGTAATGATCTTTGGATTTCTAAGCCTATCAAGCATCGAAATGTTATTGTATTTGGGCCACAGCCAACTTCCATGTATTCCAATAAAATGCAATTCAACAACAATCAGATTATGACATAGTTGAATAGTACGAAAGCGCTGAACGGACATGATACTTTTTTTTATAATTGCCAGTTTGAACTGGCAATTAGCTATAATTGCCAGTTTGAACTGGCATTTAGCTATAATTGCCAGTTTGAACTGGCATTTAGCTATAATTGCCAGTTTGATTTGACAATTAGCCATAATTGCCAGTTTGAACTGGCATTTAGCTATAATTGCCAGTTTGAACTGGCAAATTAGCCATAATTGCCAGTTTGAACTGGCATTTAGCGCTTCCGTACGAAAGAATCTAGTCATGTTATCGCCATCTAAAAAACTAATGCGAACGATTATTTCGACCAACGTAAAGGGCGAGATGACTTATTGCCATTCAATTACTCTACTGTGTCGTTAGAGACCTATAGTATATTGTTCAACAAGGACGGAATGATAGTGATTTTCTCCGAGAATGAAATTTGCAGCCTGAGCCGTAGGCGAATAATGCTGCAATCATTCGAGTGGGAAATTATCATTCCCTGCGAATTATACACCATAATTTTTCTACGGCTGTGACAGCGACATTTTTGATTTCTTCGTCTTGTAGCCATCTGATTTTCTCTCAAGTAATGCGCATCTATTAGACAGAGCTGTCATTGCTTGAACTGTGACATTACATTTGCGGGGGTACTTCCGTACGATGCCAGTTCAAACTGGCAATTATGGCTAAATGCCAGTTCAAACTGGCAATTATGGCTAATTGCCAGTTCAAACTGGCAATTATGGCTAATTGCCAGTTCAAACTGGCAATTATAGCTAAATGCCAGTTCAAACTGGCAATTATGGCTAATTGCCAGTTCAAACTGGCAATTATGGCTAAATGCCAGTTTGAACTGGCAATTATGGCTAATTGCCAGTTCAAACTGGCAATTATGGCTAAATGCCAGTTCAAACTGGCAATTATGGCTAATTGCCAGTTCAAACTGGCAATTATGGCTAATTGCCAGTTCAAACTGGCAATTATAGCTAAATGCCAGTTCAAACTGGCAATTATGGCTAATTGCCAGTTTTAACTGGCAATTATGGCTAAATGCCAGTTTGAACTGGCAATTATGGCTAATTCCCAGTTCAAACTGGCAATTATGGCTAATTGCCAGTTCAAACTGGCAATTATAGCTAATTGCCAGATCAAACTGGCAATTATAAAAAAAGTAACATGTCCGTTCTGCGCTTTCGTAGAATAGAGACTTACTTTCAAGGAAAATAAGATGCGCTACAAAAATCTACACTATGCCATTTGAAAAAACTTCTGATCAAACAGGTGGTTGAAGAAAATTGTCATTGGGTCCAAGGGAAGCGCCATCATCGATACATTTTTATCTCTTCAAATAAAAAAACTATATAACGGTATAATACAAAAACATTCTGCCCAAATTAGTGCCACATTGTATAATTAAATACTCGATTTTCAACATCTTGGAGCGACAAGTTCTGATTATGCCAGGAAAATCTTTCAAACTTCTGTTCCTTCTAGCTCTACAAACAATTAACAACAAACCAGCCGAATAGGGTTGCTCTAAAATATTTGAAATACCCCATTACACAAACAACTACCTCGCATGCTTGTAGTTTATCAGTCTATACTGTCTTGCACCAATTAACTTTAACTCTTACGTTACTTTCATCCGTGATCCAAAGAAATGGTTTCAGTGAAACAAACTTCAGATTTTAATTAGCAGCAGTAGATACGAGGTACAATGTAATTTTTGTGCTTCCGGCATAATTGGATCGGCGAGTGAAATGTATTAATTAGGAAAATTAATTCATTTTTCATCTCAACGGAAGTGAACTTTGGCATCATGTGTCGGAACAGGGATTTTCTCTTCAATATTAGTTGTGAAACAATTTTTGTTTTTGTCTCTGGTGAGTAAATGGGAAATGGAATACGAACTGAATTCATAATAATTTCATACTTTTTTATAAAAGTTGTATGAAAACATACATTGTTGCTTTGAAATGATATAAAAATATTGGTAGTAATTTTTGTCGTTCTCGAACTCGGATTCCCACTGTTAATTTTTTGCAAATGGACTATGACTTTGTATTTGAAACTCAAATTAATGAATTGTGATTCGGGTCGATTCCATTCGCAATTAACAATATGGTTGCAGATAAGATATTGCTATTACAGAAGAATTCTAAAAAATGGAATTCTGATCATAGATCAAAAACTCGTTCATCCAACGAACAGCGAGGCTCTGGAACACATTGCCAAGGGAGGTGTTCCCCGAGGCATATAACCTCCAGAAATTTAAGAAGAATACCAATTCCTATCTTATTCATGGCTGAGTCCATTATCCTTATTCATTACTCTATTACTATCCTCAAAAACCTCTAACTTGCTCAACTGCTCAACTAATTTGAGGTTATAAATATGTGTGTTATGATTGTGATTGAACATGTGTTCGGCTACACAAGATTCATCTAACCTACCATATTTCAAATGTGCTTAGTGTTCTTTGAACCTTGTTTTTATTGGACGCCTGGTTTGGCCTATATATGTGTTATCACAATCATCACAAATAGTTTCGTGAATTCCTGACTTCTCAAGTGTGTCTTATGTTTTGGATTACCTAATGAATTGTCTAACTTTGACCCAGGCTGATAAACGCTTTCAAAACCTCAGTCTCTGAGAACCTTATCGAGTCCTCTTGTGTACTTGGGATTTAAAGGGATTGGGATTATTCTCGGATAGTTTTATCCGCTTGAAAAGACGTAGAATTCCTTAATATTAATATTTTTAATAACTTAAATTATTGTCTACGTATTAATTTATCTACTATTTTGATATCATAACCATTTACGCAGAGCCACTTTATAAACAACACTTCTTCAATCAGAGTCATTAGTTATGTATTTAAGTGTGTTAGTTTCGTTTCTAAAAATTTGATGTTTTGTAATGATTGTGATGACACATATATAGGTCAAACCAGGCGTCCCATGGAAACAAGGTTCAAAGAACACTTAGCACATTTGAAATATGGTAGGTTAGATAAATCGTGTGTAACACACGTTTAATCACAATCATAACACACATATTAATAACCTCAAATTAGTCAAACAAGTTAATAATGTTAGAAAATTAGATGCATATGAAAGCTTAAAGATAATTAATAATAGTAATAGAGTAATGAATAAGGATAATGAACCTATCCCATTTACCCCTCTGTATAGATCAGTAATATAAGACCAAGGTTGACATGTGAACTCACCCACTGTTGTGTGAACATATATCTATTTATAAATAGCCCACTAGTTAGGGATACAGTTAGCAAAACACGTGTCGAGGTGTAAAAAAATCGGTTTGGTTAGTGGAAAATAGTGTGAAGTGAGTTTGTCTGTGTCTACTTACACCATTCGTTCAATCATAACCAAGTTCACCCAATACAAACAATCTGTCAATTTAAATGATATAATGGGGAAAATGTCAGTGCAAGACAGACTGATTCGGAAAGCTAGATAAACATAAACTCTTATTTTTCTCCATTAGCTTTAGAACAAATAACATTATCTACTCTTTTTTAAAGCGTGAAGTGAGTTTTTGCAACCAAGAGAGTGGATTTCCATAATTCGAGATTGAATTGTCGAAAATATGAATGTAAAAAAGTTTGAGCAATATTTTATGTAGTGTGACCCTGTATTATACCCTTCTGAATGAGATTATCAATGATTTCATTTTCAATGAATTGGGCATGGAAATTTTATCTCTCGTATCGAAACATTTAAAAAAATGGCGTTTCTGAAAGACTCAAGAAATATCATCTTCAGGAGTCTCTTCTCAGGGAGCAGTATGAATTGCTAAAGTGGAGTTTGACTGTATACATGAATGATATACCAATAATGAGCCTTGTGAGTTGTAGGAGCTGTTCAAATATAAAGAATT